CTGATCAGGTCCATATTGTTTTACTGATTATACGACATAAGTCAACCACAATGTGCTTTTGCTCTAAAAAAATTTTAGCTTTGTTTTAATTAAATTATTTCTGTTGTTTTGTTATCGGAAATCAGTTTAAAAATAAATGGTCAGGGGACAAATCCGAGGATTACGAACGTCTTCTAATAACTCTTAAAAGATGACTGCTTTCAACATATGACATCACATCACATCGCGTCAATCATTGGCTCAATGGCGCGTACATTGTTTACATAAGACGTTACTGGTCCGGACAGAATGGTGCCTTCACTCGTTTTAAATACACATTACGCTAAATAGGAGGTATTTTTACTTAAGTATATTTCAAACACCTTTATTTACTTTTCTGATGCATAAGAAAAAATGTTCTAGAATTTAATTTGCAGATAGAAAATAGTTATATTTGGGACTCATTAAGCCGCATCGGTGTCATCCTATCAGTGATTGTAGCAGGCTAGCGAATATTCACTGTTGATCAGTGTGGGGATAAATTAGTTAGTATTCTTTCGAATTGAGGAATGTTGCAGAGAAGGACTGTTTTATCTTGGTCAGCAAATTTTGGAAAATAAGGGTTTGCATCAGAGGAGAGGAACTATGAAAATGATGGAAAATTTCAATTTTGAATCTGAATTTGGGATATTGCCGTATTATGATATTTTGAGGGAAAGAATACAACTTTAACGTACCTATAAAAATTCGGAATCGGGTTAGAGTGCGACTTGTTCGAATTTTGAAGATTATCATGATTGATGCGGGCTTGAATCAATCTCATCCCCAATTTCCTACAATCTCCAGTTGGCTTTCTCGTCGTGGCATTATGGGCGCCCCTCCGCGATGAGGCATCCCACCAATCATGCCGTTTTGGGCGCCCCATTGATCAAATCTCAATGTGCCACTCGACAATCATATATTGTCATTATAAGGCGCCCCACCAATCATGTCATTATAGGCGCCACTCCGAAATAAGATACCCAACAGATCACTCCGTTTCGGGCTCCCCATTAATCGAGATGTGGTGTTAATGGTATGATTCGTTATGAGGAGCCTCACCATTTGGGGGGGGGGGGGACCTCATATATAACGAATTGATTGGCGAGGCGCCCATAAAACCAAGTGACATTGGTTGGCCCGCCCGCATATCTCGTCGTGGGGCAATTCGTGAAGATTTATAGAATCGTTAAGCATATAGAAAACAAATTAAGACAAATCGGTTAGTCAAGGAAATTGTCTATCTGGGCCCTGTTTCTTGAAATCTATACTAAAGATAAAATCAAAATTTTAGTAGATATTTCAATTTTGATTGGTTAAGCACTAAAATCAATATAATATTATCCAATCAAATTAATAAAATTTGGATTTTATCTTAGTTAAAATTTCGTGAAACAGGCCCCTGAGTGCTACTTACGACGAAATATAGACAAGTTTAGCGAATGGTTTAATTTTACTCACAGTACTAAACAGTTTACGCGGATTAATTAAGGTTATAACACAAAGGTTACAAGCCTGGTTAAATTATATCCACACATGTATAATTTATGTAAATATGTTATTAATACACTGTATTTATGTACTGTTTGTGAAATAAATAATATCTTACCTGATAGGTCTGACACGTCTTCACGGCCAGGAAGAAGTCGCAAAAATTGTTACTTAAATAAGAGTTGAAACGTAAACAAAATGTAATCTCTGTTGATCCATATATGAACCAATCAGGGGATTTACTACTTACTACCTAGATAAGTGTAATATTATCGCGACGACTATGTAAAAGAAAATATTTAATCTGTCATTATTGCATTACATGTATATCATTTTGAAAATAACATTACACATAGCTAGATATCCAAAACCAGAGCACTGGCCTATGGAGCCCCTTAAGTGCACGATTCCACTCTAATATAATTATTTTCTTTACACGAAATACTAATTCGTTCTAACGAAATACTAATTCGTTCTAACGAAATACTAATTCGTTATAACGAAATACTAATTCGTTATAACGAAATATTAATTCGATATAACAAAATAATTAATTCGTTAAAACGAAATAATTAAGTCGTTTAACTATGATATGCACGTTTATCAAATATTGCATAATATTGTTGTGTACCAATATGGCGGCAGTCTATATATAGGTCATTGGCGGGGTTCTAGCTAGATGCTTTAGAAGACAAGTTGCCCCAACCTCTAATACCATATACGCAGCTTATCATTTCGGTATTCCCCTTCCTATGGCGGCAAGTTTAACCCTTTAATCAATCGAAGTGGTGATTATTTGCTGTGTCGCTTAGTCTAAAAAAATAAGACAACATAACCAAAATGGCCGACAATTATTTCCAAAGAGAATTGAATGATTTGATAGTTGAACTTCTTGTCGGTCCACTGTGGCTTCATACAGAATGCTACATATCTGATTGGACATTGTTATTTCAAATTATACTGTAACCATTGGTCGGAAACATAAGAACGATCTGAATAGTAACGATTCTCGAATGACAAAAAAGACAACGTTTTTCAAAATCGAAACCGTCTTCTTCTGACCGAAGCCTTCTATACTCTTTAGATAAATTACCACTATGCCGGGAACGTCAAAAACGTCAAAAACGTTTTTCAAAATCGAAACCCGTCTTCTTCTGACCGAAGCCTTCTATACTCTTTAGATAAATTACCACTATGCCGGGAACGTTATTCGCCAATAATGAATAACCAATAACGAGCCAACACGTTATTCGGGATTATTCGCCAATAAACTAGACCGGTCTACCTTCCATCTGACCCTAGGGGTAAGTGAACGTCGGGTGGCCGACTAGTACGGAGACGGCAGCTTCTCAAGCTAGTAGGGTGCTGACTGGTTTGTTGGAGTGCACGGGGCAGTAAGTTAACGTTGGGTGACCGACTAGCAAGGAGACGACTGTTTGTCGAGCGAATAGGGTGTTGACTGGTTTGTTGGCGTGCACTGGGCAGTCCTCTCCTGCACTCACCTGTTTTATTGTCGAATCCCGAACGAAGATCCAGTACGTTATTCGGGATTCGAAAGTAAAACAAGACCGGCCTACCTTCCATCCTACCATTATTTTCGATACCTCCGACTGTAGGGATAAGGGAACGTTGCGTGGCCAACTAGCACGGAGACGACCGTTTGTTATACGAATAGGGTGATAACTGGTTTGTTAGAGTGTATGGGACAGTCCTCTCCAGCAATCATCTGTTTTATTGCTGAATCCCGAATCCCGAATAACGTGCTGGCTCGTTATTCGGGATTCGCGAATGTGACTCCCGAAAAATAAACATGCCGATAAAACTTGTCTTAAATTCAACGCGTATCTATTGAATAAAATCATTTCATATTTAGGTTGCTAAGTTTAAAAGGCCTCTCATTTAATTGATTTGCGTTTTCGAGACCAAATTGCTTAAAATCGTGTAACATCACGTTACTTTCAGTCTGAAGTGAAATGTTTACTAATACATTAATTGTCGATACGGTGATATCTTGGTATATAAATTAATAACACGTTTAAAATTATATCTATTCTTGTTCTCAAAAGTTATAAATTGCCGTGGGAGGCCGTAAATTTAAAATACTCAAGTTAATGCGGCCGTACAATGTAGTCACGTGTACTACCCTTCCATTTTTCTAATATTCACTCTATACCGGATCTTCTTGGATGTTTCAACTAACCATAATCATGAAGCCTAACATATGTTTGTGGAATGTTGGCCTATACAAGCAGTGTGTTTCAAACGTGCTAGAAGTTTTGTCTGGTCAAAATGGCAAACATAAATATGATTAAAAGAAGTGGTCAAAAAGACGAACCATAAATGCAGTTAAACGAAGAGTAATTGTCTCTGTCATTTCTGAAAAAATATGCAGGAAGTCTATAGGTTAGCAATTCTCTTTCAAGAATAAATGATTTTATTACTATTGCAATTACATTAATTATTACAGCGTAAATAACATTTTATTTGAAACATAACTTTAACTAAAGGATATTATGTCTTTGAAGCAACCTAATTAAAGTAAATTCCAGTTCCATGTAGTTCGTTTTGCAATTAACCATGTAAAGGTTAAACGATTGTCTCTTAAACACCATTGAACATATTTAAGTGCGTAAAGCAAACATATCAGAGACCTACACAGCAGTAATAGATCAAACTCTATCACATATAAATGTCCAAACACCTATAAAGATCATATTTTATTTAGTCGTTAGGTGTGTTATATCTCTACATACAAATTTTGATACAATGCCAATGTTTTGGTCTGATTGCATTTGCTATATATAGTTTCGTTTTTTATCCGTTGGGAGGTAACTAGACAACCCGAAATAAAACTCAAGGGGCAATCAAGTCAACCTAATATATCTGTGGTATTGAATCCATTTTGAAACTTCCTTATAGGGATTTTCCTGAGTGACCCAGGAATGCAAAACGGTGTGTGTATGTGTGTTCGGGTGTGTGTGTGTGGGGGGGGGGGGGGCTTGCAAGAAACAGCGTCTGGTTGATCGGATGGAAGAAAACTAGAGGTCAAGTGTATAGCCTACGATGGCTTGCACGTAAAAAGATCCCTCGAGGGGTAGGAGACACATTTTTGCCTTATTCATTTCTTGGCTTCGAGTCTATAACGATAGTCGAAAGCAAGACGCCGAGTCGTGATTTCACTTTGTCTTCAGGTCTGTATCTGTTATGCGCACTACTATTGTTCAAGTTTCAGCTTTCAGTTTCTCTAGACTATACTTCAAAATGGATATATAAATACCAAATTATCAAAAATTTCGAATATTTCCAACTTATAATGTTGATTCTCTTTTGTAGAGTGTCATGAAGCCAACTTAACTTTAGGAAATGGTGTAGCAAAAGCCGAATGTACTGGTGACAAGGATGATATGATATGTTCATCTATTTGCCAGATTGGTTTTGTATTTAAGGATATTATACCTAGCTATGAATGTAATGGTGGAGAATGGCTCTCTGGAAACAAAACACAACCATGCACAAGTATATAACATAATTTGTATTTTTGATTGACCGGGGTGGGATATAGGGATATCAGTTCAGAATGTTTAGATTGATGTAAGGTTATGGTCCTTGTTTCAGACATTATTACAGTTAATCATACCAGTCTCCTGGCAGGAGTACTGTTTACAATTTGTCAATGGCTCTCTAATATAATATTAGATTATATTTAGTATTGCAAGCAAAGGGCTCCCCACCCCCCGTCGCTACACTGACCTATTTGCTTGGCCACCCCCCACCCATCCATATGCCATTTGTTTATAAAGGTGAAAACCTATTAGGTTTGTTCCCACCTATTGCTTAATAAGATAACTTCAGGAATCCGTATTTTTATACGCCCACATTTCAGTGTGGGTGTATTATACCGTCACCCACTCCGTCGGTCTTTTGATCCTCCCTGCCCCAACAATTGGGGTATGTGAGCGGGGTAGAGGAGAGGCTCCACATTCGAATTTGGTGTGAAGCATTGGGCGAAATCTATTGATTTTCAGCTTACTGGACATCGTCCGTTCTAAAGTTAGCAGATATGCTACAGTTTTAACATCTTGTTTTCAAATATATCATAAGAGGACGAACCTTAACGATTTGCAGTGTTCTGATCTCTGATAGGAGTTGTACCTCACAAATAAAAGAGTTAACAATGATTGGCGTGATCACGTGATAAACCTTTTGGTTGGGGTTACAAAAACAGAGCATAAAGATAAAAGTTGTCAATTATAGCCTAATACTCGACGTGAGATATGACAAAATAGTTACTTTTAGTTGCTTTTAATGCGGCGGTCCGGGATTTCACAGTGTACCCTTTGATAAAATGGGCTAGAATTATTGCGCTCAGAGATTTGGATTCCGACAGTTTTCTTCACTAATTTGATTCACTTAAATATTTCTTGACGAATTCTTTAGCTTTCTATGAATTTATTTAACAGAACCTGTAATCCCAGAAGAATATAAAGCTAATTTGGGATTATCGTATAAAATACCTGACTGTGATTCCCAGGATGACGTACAGAACCAAATTGTCCAGATAACAGATCAGTTACCATGTTCTACTAACCCGGATTGTACGTTAAATGTTACAATAAACAGCTGTGTTTTAGATCCTGCTCCTACCTTATCTCTGGGCGTGTCCATTAATATACCAATTAACCAATCAACAATTGATTTTAAACCAGGTAATAATGATAATACTACGATTACGGAGATCAATGTAGTCAATTAGAAATGAGATCCAATTGAATCACGTTGACCTAAATTATGATTAAGAATCTGGCAATCAAGTACAAAAAACAATAAAATTGAATGACCAAGTATTACTATTTTAATAATAAAATCAACAGGCTGTGAAAGGAAATATCCTTAGATAATGTTTGATATATTAGGGTCAGGTGTGAATAGAGAACTAATGTCAATTTTTGGTTGTTATTAAAGGAAATGGTACAGATGATATAACTCGTGCATTAGATACTTTGGATAGAACATCCCAAATGATACAAGATGATGACGCCATCTTTAATGTTATTATAAATGGTGTCAACTATACAAGTGACATGGATGTTATTGGAACTATTAAATGTCCACCTGGAACCGTTCAAGGAAATGGTATTTGTGGTAGGTGTCAAAATATATGATTGGTTTTTGAAAATGCATTATAGCTAAGCTTGGAATCGAAACCACGCCATATGAAAATAATTCTGGTTGATTTGCGCACCCATACAGATTTTATTTAAATATCGCTGAATTCAAATTTATTACATAGAGCTTCCGTTTTAATCATACAGCTTGTTACGCTTATTCTTAGGGGATGGGGGAGGAGGCGGGTATCTACTCCCCCCATCCACGACCGAGGGTCTCTCAAAAAGCACTTTCAATAAGCTACATCTGTAATTGGTAAGTGAATCAATCGACATTTTGCTGTGTTTCGGGGATCACGTGGCTAAGACGCTGGCTCGCTAGCCTGGAGGTCGGGTGTTCGATCCCTGCATTGGCCGAGAAAGTTCATCCAGATTTTCCGGCGTGGTTTCCCCTTGTCAGTGATGCAGGACGGAGGGCCGGACAAGGACAGCTGTCTAGTCGTTCGGATGGACGAAAAACCGATGTCCCGTGTACAAATTGGCATGCACGTAAAAGATCCCTTGGCAGTTGGAATTCGATATAAGAGTAGGCCGTAGCGCCGCTGCCCGGGCAAAATGTCCCTCATAGCACACTGTATGGCTTATGCCCGTCTTCATTAGCCCAGCTTAGGAGCAAAACAGTAGGACGTTAAACCCCATTTCATTTCATTTCACTTTTGCTGTGTTTGGAAGTACTGGGTATTCTTTGAATAATGAGTGAGTTTATATTATTATTCGCCTTAAAATACCTTATCTGTAAAATTGTTAATATTGCATTATTATTAACAGCTGCATTTTTCCCTCAAACCAATATTTTATAAATATTCTGAATATCTATATCAAATAATTTAACTACACGGGGATCCAGGAAGCAATGTTATCAACTAAGCTATTGTTTCACAATTATTATGATCTGAAAGTAACTTATTTTAATTTCCATTATAGTTGAGTGTTCCCCGGGAGAATATTATAAAGATGAGGACGATATCTGTGAATATTGTGCACTAGGGACTTATCAACCTGATATTGGACAAACGTTTTGTTTTAATTGTCCAGATGGATTGATGACACAATTTATCGGCTCAGACAGATTGTCAGATTGTTTATTTACGAAAATCGGTAAATATAGATGATTTATAATTTGCTATGCGTTAACTTCCTCCGATTAGGAGACTCTTGAACATCAAAATGGTAAAAAGGCCAGTTATATAAACCTATCCAAATAAAGTATGCATTCAAAACCCTTTGTGGACGTCGCCATGAGTCCAACCTCGTCCTCCGGTTTGCTCCCACCCGCAAACGAATTATTGAAAAAAAATTAAACCATATGTTAGTCCCAAAATGACCTAGTTTGTGTCGAGTAGACGTTAAACCCCATTTCTCTCTCTCTCTCTCTCACGTCGCCATGAGAATTTTGATAGGTTTAGCATATCGGAGGATACTATCATTATAGATGAGTTTAGATAATCAATATATTACGAGTTTTATATGAGGATGACCAATTTTTAATTGTTATTTAAGCAGTATAGTTGTTGCCGTATAGTGCAGGGTACACGGTTTCCATTCAAAACTCTTTTCAAGAGGCATGCCATCTCTTTCAAATATGCTGTTCTTCAATTTTTAAAAAGTCCCAACTGAATTCTATTCCCTGATAGGATTTTTTTTTTTTTACAAATTAGGACCAATTTGTATTTAGTATATTCCAGGCTATATTTATAGTCTGAAGGCTAAGTTTTGGCATGGTTTCATTATTTATAACAATCGTTGTTAAACTAAATCGGGGAGATTTCGATTTGACAGTATTTACGTATTTTGAAACAGGTTTCGAAGTGTTTTGGTTCTGTTATGCAAGATCTTTTTCGACGTTCCAAAGTAAATGTACGGTGCTAAGACCACCTAAAGATACATTTTAAATGTTCCTATTATTAATTAGAACAGGCTTCGCTTTAGTTTTTATATTTTACGCTGACATTTTATTGCTTTAAATTTCCCTAGTACATCAACGGAAAATATGCCCTTTTGACATCCGGGGTCACAAAGAACAAAGGTGAATTTAGCAAATTCACATTTTTATTGAAAGAGTGATTACTTGCGATCATTTTCAGCATGTTTTCATGATACATGAATGGATGTGCATTAATTGTCAGTGCAAATGGCATCATTTTACCATTTGCCCCGAATATCTCGAAAACACTGCAACGGCGAACTGATTACCACTCGGAAACTTATTCTACGCAAAAGTTTACTATAGAAAGGTTTGGTCTGGTTTCTTGCGCATTTGAGACCCCCCCCCCTCACTAAACCTACGGTCTATTATATTATATAAAGTTTTGGTATCGCTTCATGGATGTTATTTCTTTCTTTTTTAACAGATGACAACTCTACGCCAGTCAGTTATCTCTGGATCGCTATCGTAGTGCCGGTAACCGTAGTTGTAACAGTATTTGTAGTCGCGGTACTGCTGATTGTTCGAAATAACTTGAAGAGGTAATTAAAACAAATTGTACATTGTTTACTGTATTAAAATAGTTTTTTTGTCCCCAACACACCTTTTTTTAAAAAGGGTACGATAGTGTTACGGTAAGGTGTTTAAACAGAAAACTGGTGACAAATTGGTTAAATTTGGTGTTTTTAAAATGTTTAATGACTAATTGCATTATTATGAATAATATATTTTTTTATATTTCAGTAAAAATCCGATAGTAAGTATTCTTTTTTTTTATTTTATATCTTAGATTTCTGTGATAACAAAAACCTCCCTTCTTCTTTTGTCCGGTTGGTACCGACAAGTGGAACTTTAAACACCATTTCATAATTCTAATTAAGAGCTGGTGGGTTTAAAAACTGTTTATAAGATGTGAATTGTTAAAACAAACATATTATATTAAAAATATAAATTCTGTATAGGAACTTTTCTATATGATATGTATTCTCTATTTTAGGGCGTGAAGAAAGATCAGTTTTAGTTAACTTTAAACTAGACAAATTGTGCGAATTATTACATAATTGTGTTTCCTAGTGTTGCTTTTTCTACTTTTATAGTGTAATCTATGGTTTAATCGTGTAATCTATGGTTTAATCGTGTAATCAATGGTTTAATCGTGTAATATATGGTTTAATCGTGTAATCTATATATAAGGTTTTATCTTGTAATATATGGTTTAATCGTGTAATCTATGGTTTAATCTTGTAACCTATGGCTTAATCGTGTAATATATGGTTTAATCGTGTAATATATGGTCAAATCGTGTAATATATGGTTTAATCGTGTAATATATGGTTTAATCGTGTAATCTATGGTTTAATCTTGTAATTTTATGGTTAATCGTGTAATTTATGATGTAATTGCGTAATATATGATGTAATCGCGTGATCTATGATGCAATCGAGTAATGGTGTAATCTATGTAATGATTGGCCATATACCCAGATTTCGAGACATTATTTTGAATGAAGAGGGGGTGCGAGGACTCTTAAAAATTAAATTTGCAGCAAAATGATAATTGTCAGTTTGGTTATACATATTGCTATAATTAACATATACCCCAGAATAATTCTTTTAAAATAAGCAGAAAATATTAAGAGATTTGACTCCGCTAATAGTTAAACTCAGATATGGCTCGATTGGGTTAAGACAGCGAACCAGACACTTGTGATGTTCAATTCCTAGCATCTGATGCTGTATTTTCGTCGACTTGTTTTGATTTATATCACGGGGTGAAGGTGAATGGGGGGGGGGGACGGTCGAGTAACAATTAATGAATTGACAACACCTATAATTACACATACCTCAATTTATCAGGATTTCAGAAGCGGAAGCTACTATAAAAACAGTCATTTTTGAACATCCCCGTATCAAATAATAGTTATATCGATGTCAGTCATCCTCAATTTTGTAATATCGCCCAGGGTAATGTTTATCGTAAATCAAAAACAGTTTTGAAAACTTGTTTAATAAACATGCCCATTCATAAATCAACCGAAAACAAAAAAAAGTACAATGCAGTATAAATATGTTGTCACGGTGATTTACGCAGTTATGTCCTAAATAGATCGACAAAAATAATATTTAATGATAAAATTCAGATATAAAATAAAACGAACTATATATCTACGTATATTTTAAAAAGAGACAGTCTATGTGAGCAGTAAAGGGCGGAAGTATTAAAATAAATATACCGTGATCCCACATACAATTTCATAGTAAATGCAACGTTTTTTAATAAAAAAAAATATGATCATAATGCTTTATTCACAATGATTTGATGGGCTCTTGTTGTAGTGCTTAGGGTAATCAGAACAGAATCGCCGGTCAGCTTATTTAATCGTTGTCAGACAAATCAAACTTCTGGATCAGTGTCAATTTCATAATTGATGTTAGGTGCTGGGACGGGGTTATTTGTGTTTCGGGGGTGTAGCCGTTAGTATTCTAACATTAAATAGTGATTTTTGATGAGGTGCGGGTGTTAACAGAGAGTCCGTGATGTAACATTTGGTCTGGCTTGTTTGATCCGTGTGTTATGTATAATACTAGTTGGATTAATTGATGTCCATCAGACAGAATAAACTGACTCAAATCTTCTTCCGAGTTGATGACAAGACTTCTGTCACCTGTAAGTGGCTTAACATAAATTCGGCCATCATATTTCCAGCAATTTTAAACTTTTTTCAGCTTGAACAGTTCTCTTGTTCTTTTATAGAGTAGTGATCGTGTTTTTGTCAGAGCTTCATTCACATATACCATTGAATTATTGGTTAGTTTGTAGGATTTTGGATTACGTTTGTTGCCATATACTGATGCACGATCTCTATAACTTATAATAAAACGTACTATAAAACCACGTACATTACCAGACCCTTTGGGTCCTACCCTGTGAGTGCGTCCTATTTGTTCCTTTGATAATAT